ATAAATGTTTCAAAACCCTACTTTTCAAACTAGTCTCTGGATTTTGATCCAATTTTGTCAAAGTTTGTCTAGAACAATTCTGTGGCATCTCTATGTAAATAATTATCAAAAACATTTTGACTTTTCTACTCAGGGTCATGTGGATTAATCACCAAATTCCTGCATATGTGGCATTGTTAGCTTGGTTAGCTATAACTCATCAGTCATTGATCAGATCATGTTGAAACTTTGAGTATTTATACAAATTGAGATTCTAATGGGGCACACCAAGTTTGGTCCAGATTGGCCTTTGGGGGTGCTTCAGCACTCAAAAACACTGAAAAATCAATAAAAATGCTATTACAATGTTATTACAAGGCCCACATATAAACAAATGGTGCCATGTGACTCAGTCCACTAAGATGAACAACTTTCTAATTACATGTTATGTCAAAAATTGCACTGCTTGTCTTTTATTTTGGATTATTCATTCAAAGATTTCACTATACAAAGACTTACTATACAAAGGCTTGAGGCTTTTCTAGGCCTAATATAATAAAAGCTTGAGGCCTTTTTAGGCCTAATGGGCGAAACCAAAAGCTTGACGCCTTTTTAGGCCTAATGGCCTAAACCAGAAGCTTGAGGCCTTTTTAGGCCTAATGGGCTAAACCTGCAGAAGGGCCCATACTGCTGTTGCGTGCTTGAACCCGCTCATTGCTGCTCGCGGCTATATTTATTATTATTATTCTTTTTCTCCGATAAAACGAATCGCCCAGACCAAACCGTAAGTCCTAGAGACATGAAACTTGGTCAATAGGTAGTAGTCCCTCCCGCTACTCAGGTTCGCGAAATGAGCCCAATCGGCCTAAAGGTGGCGCTATTGCGCAACACAACGCGTTTGGCTCCATAATTCCTTCCCCAGATTTTTGCCAGACATGACATATTTTTTTCCTGATTCCTTGGGTCCAACAAAACAACTTTGTAATTTGGACCATTAAGCTCCGCCCACTCAGATTTTGAGCTAATTTGCATAATATGCAAAAACTACTTTTGCGAACTAGTCCTACGGTTTTCATCCAATCCTCATGTTTTTGGTGTCAAAAAATTCAGAAGAGCCTGAACCTCAATAATTATCCAGCACATTTTTAATTCTTTACTCAAAATGGCTGCCATATGCAAATTAATCCTTCTGGAAAAATCTAAATAATTCTTATTTAATTGAAAAATCTGTAACTCGAGAATCCTTCACCCAAAAAATTTGAAACTTGACAGGCTTATTCCTAAAGAGACTCTGAGGACACCTATCAATTTTTGTGCGCATAAGTCATTAGGGGGCGCTGTAAATGCTATGTAGCTGTTTCTCAGCATCCGTACATCCGATCAAGTTGAAACTTTGCAAGTACCATCTATTCCAAAGACTATAAGTGAATCTTTCAGGACACTTTGAAATATTTAAATTTGTGGCCGCCATCGGCCAATAAGCTTTCAGCAGCCATTTGACAGGCTTAGCATTGGCCAATCCTCATGATACTTGACAGCTATCTCTATCTCACCACCTTCTAACAACCTGCGAAGTTTCAAAACATTTGGCCACTGGGGGGCGCTATTACAGAAAATCAAGTATATCTTGTACAGATTGTCATTTTTGGTCAAATAACTTAGATGCCCTCATGCAGTGCAGTGTTCCAAACCATTTTGTCATTTGAAGTCTATTAAAAAAGTGCTTAGTTTTTTTTCAATCCTCAAATGTTTGAAATTAGCACTTTTCGAACTAGTCTGTGGAATTTGAAGCTACCTTCTCAAATCTGGTCTAGAAATACTCTGTAGCCTCTCTAGGTAAATAATTATCCAGCACATTTTCCATTTTTTGCTCATTGTGGTCTCCCTCCTTCACTAAATCATTGCGGCCATAGCATTGCTAGCTTTAATTGCTATAACTCATCAGTCCTTGGTCCGATCATCTCAAAATTGTAAGTATTTTTATAAATTGAGACTCTGATGTAGCTTGCAAAATTTGATCCTGAATGGCCAATAGGGGGCGCTTTAGCACTCAAAAACCCCTAAAATCTTAAAAAAATGTTGTTACAACAATACTACAAAGTCTACAGATAAATAAGAGGTGTCATTTGATTCAGTTCACTGGTCTGAATCACTTTGTAATTACATGTTATGTCATAAATTGTACTCCTTCTCTGGTATTTTGAATTATTCATTTAAAGACTACAGCTTGTAATACCAAGGTCAAATGGTCAATCTGAACAAAACTCGGTGAACATCTTTGACAAAGGTCCCTGATCAATTTTCATAACACTTGAAGACCTTTGGACCAATTTTGACCCACTTTCACTGAGGTCCTTTATGCTTAAAGGGCCCTTATGGGTCCATTGGGTCTGTTTATGTCCTGCTTATCAAAGCCTTTAACATGGAGAAACAAAATACTTTGCAAACACAACAAAGACAGAAATTTTTACCATTACTCAAATATTTCTTCAAACCATTGGAGATCAGTAACTTGAAATATAAACATACATTAGGTTTAAAGCCCCCTGCTCCTAATTCATGACAAATGAAGGCCTGTTGAGGAACTCAGACCTTTTTTCAGCCTCTCTGCCTCAAAGTCCCAAACTGCATTAGGCCTTATTAGGGCTTTTGGCTCAAAGTGCATGAGAGCTTCTTGGGCTTATGCGTGCTTGGACCCGCTCATTGCCGCTTGAGGCTATATTTCTTCTTCTTCTTATTATTCTTTTTCTCCGATAAAACGAATCGCCCAGACCAAACCGTAAGTCCTAGAGACATGAAACTTGGTCAATAGGTAGTAGTCCCTCCCGCTACTCAGGTTCGCGAAATGAGCCCAATCGGCCTAAAGGTGGCACTATTGCGCAACACAACGCGTTTGGCTCCATAATTCCTTCCCCAGATTTTTGCCAGACATGACATATTTTTTTCCTGATTCCTTGGGTCCAACAAAACCACTTTGTAATTTGGACCATTAAGCTCCGCCCACTTAGATTTTGAGCTAATTTGCATAATATGCGAAACCTACTTTTGCGAACTAGTCCTACAGTTTTCATCCAATCCTCATGTTTTTGGTGTCAAAAAATTCAGAAGAGCCTGAACCTCAATAATTATCCAGCACATTTTTAATTCTTTACTCAAAATGGCTGCCATATGCAAATTAATCCTTCTGGAAAAATCTAAATAATTCTTATTTAATTGAAAAATCTGTAACTCGAGAATCCTTCACCCAAAAAATTTGAAACTTGACAGGCTTATTCCTAAAGAGACTCTGAGGACACCTATCAATTTTTGTGCGCATAAGTCATTAGGGGGCGCTGTAAATGCTATGTAGCTGTTTCTCAGCATCCGTACATCCGATCAAGTTGAAACTTTGCAAGTACCATCTATTCCAAAGACTATAAGTGAATCTTTCAGGACACTTTGAAATATTTAAATTTGTGGCCGCCATCGGCCAATAAGCTTTCAGCAGCCATTTGACAGGCTTAGCATTGGCCAATCCTTATGATACTTGATATCTATCTCTATCTCACCACCTTCTAACAACCTGTGAAGTTTCAAAATATTTGGCCACTGGGGGGCGCTATTACAGAAAATCAAGTATATCTTGTACAGATTGTCATTTTTGGTCAAATAACTTAGATGCCCTCATGCAGTGCAGTGTTCCAAACCATTTTGTCATTTGAAGTCTATTAAAAAAGTGCTTAGTTTTTTTTCAATCCTCAAATGTTTGAAATTAGCACTTTTCGAACTACTCCGTGGAATTTGAAGCTACCTTCTCAAACCTAGTCTAGAAATACTCTGTAGCCTCTCTAGGTAAATAATTATCCAGCACATTTTCCATTTTTTGCTCATTGTGGTCTCCCTCCTTCACTAAATCATTGCAGCCATAGCATTGCTAGCTTAAATTGCTATAACTCATCAGTCCTTGGTCCGAACATCTCAAAACTTTAAGTTTGTTTATACATTGAGACTCTGATGTGGCTTGCAAAATTTGTTCCTGATTGGCCAATAGGGGGCGCTTTAGCACTCAAAAACACCTAAAATCTTTAAAAATGTTGTTACAACAATACTACAAAGTCTACAGATAAATAAGAGGTGTCATTTGATTCAGTTCACTGATCTAATTGACTTTGTAATTACATGTTATATCATAAATTGTGCTCCTTTTCTGGTATTTTGAATTATTCATGTAAAGACTACAGCTTGTAATACCAAGGTCAAAAGGTCAATCTGAACAAAACTCAATGAAAATCTTTGACAAAGGTCCCTGATCAATATTCATAACATTTGAAGACCTTTGGACCGATTTGACCCACTTTCACTGAGGTCCTTTATGCTTAAAAGGCCCTTATGGGTCCATTGGTTCTGTTTATGTCCTGCTTGTCAAAGCCTTTAACATGGAGAAACTAAATACTTTGCAAACACAACAAAGTCAGAAATGTTACCATTACTCATGTATTTCTACAAACCTTTGTAGATCAGTAAATTGAAATATAAACATATATTAGGTTTTAAAGCCCGTGCTCATAGTTCTTGACAAATGAAGGCCTGTTGATAAACTCTGATTTCTTTTCGGCCTCTCTGCCTCGAAGGCCCAAAGTGCGTTAGGCCTTATTAGGCCTATTAGGCTTAAAGTGCATGAGAGTTTCTTGGGCTTATGCGTGCTTGGACCCGCTCATTGCCGCTTGCGGCTATATTTATTATTATTATTATTGGGCTTGTTGGGACAGGATTCAGCTCAAGTCTCAGGTCATAAAATCTGAGCCCTTTACATTTAGAAGTGATCTAGGTTTAACCTGGGTTAACCTGAGCTGGTGCCACTTGGTGGTCATTCTGTGGTAGAACAGCTGATGCAGAATGTGAATCTCAACACCGATGCCTGTGACGAGGTGAGCAGCCGCTCCTAAACTGCACTTTTTAAACATCATACACTCTTTTATCCTCAGTGCTGTAAAAAAAACACTGCACAAAGAGAGTCTGTTGTTTTGGAGGAGAGAGATCACCTGAAGTTGTGGTGGAGCTGCAGGTTTGGAGATGATGATGTGGCCTGACTCATAGTGCCGATGATGTATGGACTGCAAACAGAGAGAAAAGAAACATGTGCATCAATAAATGGGCATAAACAAAGGTAGAGCTTGAAGTGAGGGGTTTCTGATAAAGTGACCAGTTATGTATACACAGCGAACCCTTGGACAGAGTGATCTGATAGTGGCTGATACATGATGTGAAGCCACAGATGCGTGGATCTTCAATATATACATAATTTAATGTCATGAAGAAGAAGAGTCAGATGAGGCCATAATTTCTGTTTGAAAAATGCTCTTTTATTGAGAGCAAAGGAAAACAATGCCACTTGAAAAGCAATGGAAAATTGAGGTAGTTCACTCCTAGCCCTAATCTTTCTTCTGATGGTCACCAAACACAAACCCACTCTAACTAATCCAAATCTGGGCACAAAATAGCACACAGATACACCAAAATATGATTGGTGTATCTGTGTGTGTGTGTTTGCGTGACAGTAAGTGTTTTCTCTCAGCTCTGTGTGGTGATGTCATGGAGAGAAGTTTGTTTTTATAAAACACAGACATGTGACAGTGTGTGTCTATGTCTCTTTTCTAAGCAAACAGTTCCGTTAAAGGGGAACTCCACCGATTTTTACTATTTTCCGCATAATCAAGTGGTTAAGATGTAAACAGAGTCATTCAGAGTGGTTTGGTGCGAAACACTCCATTCTAGAGAAACTTACAGAGTCAGAATAGTTCACAGTGGTGGTGATAGGAACCAGACGTCCACCTCTAAAAGCTCCCTGACAAAAAGCTATTACATGAAATGGTTATGAATACACTGCCTGATGTCTGAGTGTGCGTGTGTCTCACCAGTGCTGGTATTTGTAGTTGAGCAGGCCGTTGAATATTTCCCCCAGAGAGCTGATGTGGTGCAGACTATCGAGGATTAGAACCAGAGGAGCTTCAGCGTCTGGCCCTGCAGAACACTGTTCCACTACTGCAGCTAAATACTGCCTCAACTCCTACAGAGAGAAACAATAAAAACAATATAGCTGCGAGCGGCAATGAGCGGTTTCAAGCATGCAACAGCAGTACGGGCTCTTCTGCAGGTTTAGCCCATTAGGCCTAAAAAGGCCTCAAGCTTCTGGTTTAGCCCATTAGGCCTAAAAAGGCCTCAAGCTTTTTGTTTCGCCCATTAGGCCTAAAAAGGCCTCAAGCCTTTTATTATATTAGGCCTAAAAAGGCCTCAAGCCTTTGTATAGTAAGTCTTTGTATAGTGAAATCTTTGAATGAATAAGCCTAAATAAAAGACAAGCAGTGCAATTTTTGACATAACATGTAATTAGAAAGTTGTTCATCTTAGTGGACTGAGTCACATGGCACCAATTGTTTATATGTGGGCCTTGTAATAACATTGTAATGGCATTTTTATTGATTTTTCAGTGTTTTTGAGTGCTGAAGGACCCCCAAAGGCCAATCTGGACCAAACTTGGCATACTCCATTAGAATCTCAATTTGTATAAATACTCAAAGTTTGAACATGATCTGACCAATGAATGTTGAGTTATAGCTAACCAAGCTAACAATGCCACGTATGCAGGAATTTGGTGATTAATTCACATGGCCCTGAGTAGAAATGTCAAAATGTTTTTGATAATTATTCACCTACAGATGCCAAAGAATTGTTCTAGTCCAACTTTGATAAGATTGGATCAAAATCCAGAGACTAGTTCGAAAAGTAGGGTTTTCAAACATTTATCGATTACAAAAAAACTATACAGATTTTTAATAAACATGTATAGGCAAAATTGTTTGTCACACTGTATTATAATAGGCTGTACGTGGAAATTGTAATAATATTGTAATAACATGTAATAATATGTACATTTTTGAAATTTGAAATTATATATAAGTGCTCAAGGTTTTCAGATGATACAACCAAAGACTGATGAGTTATAGCAAATCAAGCTGGCTATGCCATGGCCGCAGTGATGTATTGATGGAGCAACACAAGGTCGAGTGAAAAAGTCAATATTTTTTTGATAATTATTTACCTAGTCAGGCGACAGAGTATTTCTAGACCAAATTCGAGAAGTTTGCATCAAAACTCAGAGACTAGTTCGAAAAGCATGGTTTTCAAACAGTTAATGAATACAAAAAAACTATGCATTTTTATAATAAACATGCAATGGTAAAATTGTTTGGCATACTGTACTACATAAGATTCATACAGAGCATGGGTCAAAAATAGTAATAATATGTTCATATCATGTAATAATATATAATTTTTTATGAATAGCGCCCCCCAGTGGCGAAATCTGTTGAAACTTCACTGGTTGTTAGAAAGGGGCTACATGTAGACACCATTCAAGTTTCGTCATGATTGGTCAATGTTAAGCCGGTCAAAAGCCTGCTGAATGCTGATTGGCTGATGGCGGCCATAAATTTAAATGAATCAAATTGTCCTTCAAGATTCACTTATAGTCTGTCTAGTAGATGCTACATGCCAAGTTTCAGCTCAATCGGATGCACGGATGCTGAGAAACAGTTAACTGGCAATTGCCCCGCCCCCTAATGACGTATGCCCACCAAAATTGATATGCTACCACAGAATCTGGTCTTAAATGTGCATGTCAAGTTTCAATATTTAAGGCAGAAGCATTCTCCACTTATAGAGTTTTAAATGAATTATGAGCTATTTCAGAAGGGTTCATTAGCATATGGCAGCCATATTGTTTATAAAAGTCAACATTTTTTTGATAATTATTGAGGGTCAGACTCCTCTGAATTTTTTGATGCCAGACACATGAGGATTGAGTGAAAACCCTAGAACTAGTTCGCAAAAGTAGGTTTTGCATATTATGCAAATTAGCAAAAAATCTAAGTGGGCGGAGCTAAATGGTCCAAATTGCAAAGTTGTTTGGCTTGACCCAAGAAATCAGGCAAAAAAAGAATGTTGTCTCTAGACATCATGGTGTAGAAGTTATAAGGCAAAATGTGTTTTGATGCTCTATAGCGCCCCCCTTTGGCCAATCGGGGTCATTTTTGTTGCCTGGCGAGATGCACACAAACTACATCTAGCCACCAAGTTTGGTGCCTCTAGGCCTGACGGTCTGTTCTCCACAACACGTTTTTCAGGAGAAAAAGAATAATAAATATAGCCGCAAGCGGCAATGAGCGGGTTCAAGCACACAACAACAGTACAGGCCCTCCTGCAGGTTTAGCCTAAAAAGGCCTCAAGCTTTTGGTTTCACCCATTAGGCCTAAAAAGGCCTCAAGTCTTCTATTATATTAGGCCTAAACAGGCCTCAAGCCTTTATATACTAAGTCTTTGTATAGTGAAATCTTTGAATGAATAAGTCAAAATAAAAGACAAGCAGTGCAATTTTTGACATAGCATGTAATTAGAAAGTTGTTCATCGTAGTGGACTGAGTCACATGACACCAATTGTTTATATCTGGACCTTGTAATAACATTGTAATAGCAATTTAATTGATTTTTCAATGTTTTTGAGTGCTAAGGCACACCCAAAGGCCAATGTGGACCAAAATTGGTCTACTCCATTAGAATCTCAATATGTATAAATCCTCAAAGTTTGGACATGATCTGACCAGTGACTGGTGAGTTATAGCTAATTGAGCTAACAATGCCACGTATGCAGGAAATAATTGATTGATCCACATGACCCTGAGTAGAAAAGTTCAAATGTTTTTGATAATTATTTACGTAGAGAGGCCAAAGAATTGTTCTAGACCAATTTTGAAAAGATTGGATCAAAATCCAGAGACTAGTTCGAAAAGTAGGGTTTTGAAACATTTATCTATTACAAAAAAACGATACAGATTTTTAATGAACATGTATTGGCAAAATTGTTTGTCACATGGTAGTACAATAGGCTGTAGGCGAAAATTGTAATAATATTGTAATAACATGTAATAATATGAAATTTTTTGAAATAGCGCCACCCAGTGGTCAAATCTTTTGAAATTCGACTGGTTGTTAGAAAGTGGCTACATATAGACACCAGTCAAGTTTGGTCATGATTGGTCAATGTTAAGCCTGTCAAATGGCCTGCTGAATGCTTATTGGCCGATGGCGACCACAAATTTCAATGTATCCAAATGTCCTTACAGTCGCACTTGTAATCTGCCCCAATGATGCTGGATGCAAAGTTTGAGCTTGATAGGTTGTACGGCTGCAGAGAAAATGCCCTGTTTTTGTTGCTCCGCCCCCTAATTACTTATGCACACAAAATTCGAATGGCTACCTCAGAATGGGCTACTGACATGGCCTGTGAAGTTTGAAATTTTTTGGCTGAAGGATTCTTGAGTTACAGATTTTTCAATTAATTCTGAATTATTTTGAATTTATCCAGAAGGGTTCATTTGCATATGGCAGCCATGCTGTATGGAAAACTTAAAATGTTTTTGATAATTATTGACCTTGAGGCTCTTCAGAATTTTTTTACACCAAATGGATGAGGATTGGGCAAAAGTTGGAGGACTAGTTCGCAAAAGTAGGTTTCGCACATTTTGCAGTATTGCGAAAAATCTAAGTGGGCGGAGCTAAATAATCAAAATAGCCAAAAGGTTTATTTGGACCCATAGAACCAGGAAAAAAATATGGCTTGTCTGGCAAAAATCTGGTTTAGGAGATATAGACCCAAACACGTTGGCCTACGCTGTAGCGCCCCCTTGTGGTCGACTGGGCTGATTTCTTGCGCCTGAGTAGCGGGAGGGACTACTACCTATTGACCAAGTTTGGTGTCTCTAGGACTTACGGTTTGGGCTGTGCGTTCCGTTTCAGGGCGGAAAAAGAATAATAATAATAATAATAAGAAAAATTCTCACAATTCCAATAGGGTTCAATGCATTGCATGCTTGAACCCTAATAATAATAATAATAAGAAGAAGAAAAATCCGCACAATTCCAATAGGGTTCTACGCACTTCGTGCTTGAACCCTAAATATAGCCGCAAGCGGCAATGAGCGGGTTCAAGCACGCAACAGCAGTACGGGCCCTCCTGCAGGTTAATGTTTTGAAACATTTATCTATTACAAAAAAACGATACAGATTTTTAATAAACATGTATAGGCAAAATTGTTTGTCCCAATGTACTACAATAGGCTGTAGGTGAAAATTGTAATAATATTGTAATAACATGTAATAATATGTAATTTTTTGAAATAGCGCCCTCCAGTGGTCAAATCTTTTGAAACTCGACTGCTTGTTAGAAAGTGGCTACATATAGACACCAGTCAAGTTTCGTCATGATTGGTCAATGTTAAGCCTGTCAAATGGCCTGCTGAATGCTTATTGGCCGATGGCGACCACAAATTTCGATGTATCCAAACGTCCTTCAATGCACACTTGTAGACTGGCGAGAGGATGCTGGATGCCAAGTTTCAGCTTGATCGGATGTTCAGAGGCAGAGAAAATGCCCTGTTTTTGTTGCTCCGCCCCCTAATTACTTATGCACACAAAAATCGAATGGCTACCTCAGAATGGGCTAGTGACATGGCCTGTGAAGTTTGAAATTTTTTGGCTGAAGGATTCTTGAGTTACAGATTTTTCAATTAATTCTGAATTATTTTGAATTTATCCAGAAGGGTTCATTTGCATATGGCAGCCATGTTGTATGGAAAACTTAAAATGTTTTTGATAATTTTTGACCTTGAGGCTCTTCTGAATTTTTTGACACCAAACTGATGAGGATTGGGCAAAAACTGTAGGACTAGTTCGCAAAAGTAGGTTTCGCACATTTTGCAGTATTGTGAAAAATCTAAGTGGGCGGAGCTAAATAATCAAAATAGCCAACAGGTTTATTTGGACCCATAGAACCAGGAAAAAAATATGGCTAGTCTGGCAAAAATCAGGTTTAGGAGATATAGAACCAAACGCGTTGGCCTGCGCTGTAGCGCCCCCTTGTGGCCGACAGGGCTGATTCCTTGCGCCTGAGTAGCGGGAGGGACTACTACCAGTAGACCAAGTTTGGTGTCTCTAGGACTTACGGTTTGGGCT